CAGTTCTTAAGTATTGTAGCAAGAGCGTAACGATCTAAAGGAAAGTGTGTTCAACATATGCATTGACTTTTTAATTTCTTGCTTTTGCTTTGTAATACTTTAAGTTTGTTTTTATTTATTTCTATTTATTTACAGTGTTGTTTACTGGTTCGGGTGCTTTGCTTTTAATGATTACTTATATCTTGATTAAGACATAAAATCAAGACGAGTATAAGGAGATACTCACAATAAGAATCACCTATATGAGTGTTGAACTGGGGCCGGTTCTATGAGAATGCAAAGGCTAAATTCTCTAGAAACACTTATGAAAACCAGGTGCGTTCAAGGCCAAAATGAACACAACAGTGAGAACCACGATGTGTTAGAAGATATTTTGTGTGAAATCTATTGTCTTGACTTACACAAATAGCTGAACAATTCAAGACATCGTGTCCATTGGTTAGCCAGTAAGTCCGATAGGTTATCACTAGGGAAGGTTCAAAGCCGAAAACTACCTATCCTGATGCAAGATATTTTCGACTTATACTCTTTCGTTAAAGTTTGCATATTGTTGCATTTCTGTTGTCATCAAATTCCATTCATGTGGGGGATTGTTGGAAATGGTAGAAAAATTCTAGGTAAAACCAGAATTTTTTTTCAAGTTTGGTCTATTTTTTAGGTGGGCTCCGAGCGTCTATTTACTCGGGTCAAAGTGGTAACGCGTTCTATGCCGCGTTGTGATTCACGTGGTATATTTGGTTGCTCAAAACCATTACCGAGTGAATGGGAGATTGAAGCCAACGTGTGCTCCATGGAAATGGAGTTTTGGTGGAAATTCCTTAAGGTTGTAAAATGGCTTGTCCCATATTGATTTGGTGGGAAGTTTTGAAAGGGTTTATAAGGCATGAGTTTGGTACTTGGGGTGTGCCCCAAGGGGTATCCAAGTGTTTTAGAGGAAGAGGTTATGGGCAAAATGAGCTAAACCCATTGGACCCAAAAATCACCACACATGCGTGCGCCGCCGCCGTCTGTCAGGTCGGTCGGGCGGGCTGGGCTGGGCCTCGGCCTGGGCGCGGGTGCGTGGTGTGTGGTTGGGCTGGGTTAGGCTTGCTCAGCCCAATACTAATCCTTTTGGGCAAAAAATATTTGAATTTATTTTTATTTTTTGGTAAAATAAAATCCATAATTCAAATTAACCGGAAATAATCTGGTTCGGTTTTTCCTGTACATCCAAACAGGGCCCTTCCGTTTTTTGAACCCAACAGCTCTAAATCTGTTTGAATTTCAAACCAAACAGTGCCTAAACAGTTTTGTATCTGTTTAATTCAAATTGAACAGGTACAGTACCTATTTAATTCAAAATGGAAAGCCACCAATCCATCTATAAATAGACTAAGCCCCCCCATTTGGAAAATACTCCAATTTTTGTACTCCATCTTCTGCTATAAATTTATTCTTCATTTTGCATTAAGTTCTTGTTACAGAGAGTATAAACACTTAGTGTGTTCGACGAACGAATAAATTGTAGTGCTGTTTTTATTCGTTGATAGATCATTTTATCCTGGGAGATAGACGTCCAGATTCTGAAAGTACCGTGGAGATGACGAATCTGTCTTAAGGACACAGTGTCAAACACTGAACTTGATCAGATTATAATTCGAAGAAATTAAATCAAGTAAGTTATTTAATTAATTTTTGTGTTATTGTTATTTATTTAAATCAGATTTTAATTTTGTTTTTGTAACAAAATAAAATCTATTTTTATTTATTTATTTATTATTTTGAGTTTGATTTTTGTAATCAGATAAATTCTCTCATTTTTTTTATTTCTTTAAATTATAGTTGTTGTTTTGTACACAATAGAATTAAATCTTTTAAATACAGTGAAAATTGTCCAACAGTGAGTTGGTCAGATACGTTACATTGATAGATCAGTGAATAGATAGGTACATATATAAATATTGAGATTTTTTAATAGATAGTTGTACATATATACGATACGTGGACATATAGTAGAATATTTGAGCATATAAGTGACATTTAAATATATAGACAAGATAAGTTTTGAATAGATAGATATTCTTTTGCACAAAAAATGTTCTTTATTTAGTCCAAAAAGATTTTAAAACCCAAGGGTTTCTGAAATAAATCTCTAGCCTGAGCATTTCTTTCTTTTCTTTTCTTTTTTTAAGGTTATATTACAATGTTAGTTGGACATTTTATTTCTTCACATTTAATAATAATAATAATATTACAATATTAATTGGGTGTTTTATTTTTTCACCTTTTAATTACCAAGTGATTTCTACATACATACACATAACAAAAGTCAAACAACCTGATAAATTATATATTTAATAGTAATAAGTCCAACCATATGATATGAACTATAATTATATTACGTGATTGGTTTCGATCTACTTTTAAAATTTTAATCCTTAAACATTAATATAAAAATATAGGATAAAATGTGAAATTTACCACGTGCAATGCATGTGCACCTCTACTAGTCTATTCACATGTCTAAACATCTGTTTAGATGTCTTACTATCTATACATGTGTCATGTATCTATTCACTTATATGTTCAATATCATCTAATGCTGTTGGTGATTTTTTGACGATTTTTCTGACGACTTTTCAATGTGCATCCTTATCATCAAAAAATATAAAACTTTAAACTAAATATCATATGATCTCATATGAATTAATTTTTCACCAATTAATCCTTTAAACATATTGGGGAAATTACACTCCAGTAGAATTTTAAAAAATATTTATAAATTAATGAGAAAGTTCATAAATTTAATTATAAATATGTATAAAGTTTTTTGTTCATTTCAAATTTTTTTTTTAAAAAAAAAAAAAACCTGATGAGTAATTTTTCCTTAAACATCAGGAATCAAAATAATACAAATCTCATACTTTGGGTACAAAAAAATATAATTAACCCCAACCATCTCTTCTCCTGTTAAATGTGTACAAACCTTATTTGGTTGGATAGCTGTCAAGTTTTATTTCTTTCCTTTTTTAAAAAAAAATTATTTTACAAATCAAGAATGCCTTCAACATTATAACTACTGAATCTTTTTTTTTTTCATTTATCAAACTGTCTAAAATTATTAAATATATTATTGTGTTTGCACCTAGTACTAGTCCTCAAAAAATTAAACAAATAATTGATTGATGAGTAGAAAAGGCATGAGAAAAAGAAATGTTTTATATATTTTAAGAGTATCATTATTAAGCTCATTAGAACTTTTTCTTGGCTATTTTATAATACAAAACCATAGAAACACACTTTATCAAACTCAATTCTTGGCTTAAATGTGTACAAACCTTATTTGGTTGGATAGCTGTCAAGTTTTATTTCTTTCCTTTTTTAAAAAAAAATTATTTTACAAATCAAGAATGCCTTCAACATTATAACTACTGAATCTTTTTTTTTTTCATTTATCAAACTGTCTAAAATTATTAAATATATTATTGTGTTTGCACCTAGTACTAGTCCTCAAAAAATTAAACAAATAATTGATTGATGAGTAGAAAAGGCATGAGAAAAAGAAATGTTTTATATATTTTAAAGTATCATTATTAAGCTCATTAGAACTTTTTCTTAGCTATTTTATAATACAAAACCATAGAAACACACTTTATCAAACTCAATTCTTGGCTAACTACTTTAATTGAATATCAAACCATTAGCTATATGTAGCTAAGGAAAGATCACTGAACAAATGAAATAAATAATAGAGAGTTTGTCGGAGAATGTATTTGAAAGGAAGATTAGCTAAAATAAAAAAAAAATATGCTTTTTGTAAAAATTTAACTATTTTAATAAAAATGCCCTAATAAATTACTATCTCATTAGGTTTGAAAAATGAAACTAATTTTTAAGATAGAATGCATAATTCACATGTAAAGTGTACAAATAATTAAGAGTAGTGCTCTGGTACGAGCATAGAAAGAATGCATAATTCACATGTAAAGTGTACAAATAATTAAGATTAGTGCTCTGGTACGAGCATAAAAAAAATCATATCAAATTTTAATTTTATTATTCTAAACAAAAGACACAGGCAGATGGCTTGTATTTTTTAAAATATCACTGTAAAATTATTATTGTCATAAATTTTGTATATCATCATTTGGAAATTGATTTTTTTAATACTTTTTAATTTTTTAAGAAAAGATGTATAAAAAAATAAAAAATAAAAAAAATTAATTTAAATTTTTTTTTTTTTAACTTTTTAGTTAATTTAACCCTGTCATTTTTCAAAAAGTAATTATCTTAACATTACTTTAATTTAATGTAGTTGGTACAGTTTTTGTCCAAATTATTATGCTTTCATCTCGACTGTAGAATGTATCGGAACGACATGTTTTTGAAGCCGGTGGTGTTACATGCTCCAACTAGTATACACATTAGTATATCAATTAGTATTATGATATTATTATTTACCACATTTATTATACAAGTTACAAATATCTAAAACCATACAAATGATGTCACATTATCCGCTAGTATACTAGTGTACATTAATTGGTACATATAGTATTATTCTTTTGAAGCCAAGGAAAGTTGAATAATAATAATATTTATTATTATTATTATTATTTTGACATCATGTTTGACTCATGATAATGTATGAAACCATTTCTAGTGTATACTACAAGTATGGTGTTTTACAAGTATAAAAATCAAACAAAGAAACATTTAGATGTCTTCAGATTCATATTACTTATAAACAAATATATGAATCTAAATCTAAATCTAAATAGAAGATCACACCAAAAAAGAAAAATAAAATAAAATAAAACCTTCTCAATCACAAATTTAAAGAGCAAGGATCCTCTAGAGTGATTTTTTCCTAAAGTTTCCTAGAGTGTTCCATTGTGTGATTGAGATTTACTGGCAAATCACATCAATTTTTCTGATGTAACTTGCCAGTAAATCTCAACCACACAATATAACACTCTAGGAAACTTTAGGGAAATTTCACTCTAGAGGATCCTTGGTGAAATTTAAATAGGTTTTGGTATTGACGATAAAGGTATATATCAGCCAATACTATCAGTGGACTGATATAGAACATTATCGACCTATATACGGTATAATATCAGTATGACAAATCCAAAATCTCAATACATGTTGAATATTTAAATCCCTACCCTCAATAATGGCTTAGATATCAGCACGGGAAGAAGCTGAAAATCAAAATCATTTTCCACAGGAGCCAAGTTCAAATCCAAACATAAAATCCTCCTACTATTCGACTTCTTCACAACCGGTGCTTCTTGTTGTGATTGTGACGGAGATAGAGTTAACTCCGGTGGCTGATTGTTTTCATCCACGGGGGTGGCAGCCGCTCTGTGCCGCCTCATATGACCTCCCAAAGCCTGGCCTAATGGGAATTCTTGGCCACATATGGAGCACTCGTGGGTTTTGGGCTTAGAGGGCTGTGGCGACTGACCGGCAGCCGCTTGGTGGTGATTCAAGCCCCCTCCTCCCATCAACCGCAACCTCTTGTGACTGGCGCGGTGGCCTCCGAGCGCTTGGAATGATGGAAACTGGCGGTTACATGTCTTACACTCGAAGACACGGCTCGGTGAGTTGGCCCGTGATTTAAACCCTCCTGCGGCATGAGAGAGTAGCATCAAGCAGTTGGCCATGGTGGTGGTGTCAAACTCTTCTTCTCTTCCTCTCTTCATGCCTAAGTATACCATGAAATTAAATATAATAGTGAAACTTCTTTACAACTCTAATATCAGGGCTTTGCTTGGAGGAGAAGAGTACTGTTTGTTGTGTGTGAAAAAGGATGTGTGTTTGTTTTGAACGAACAGACAACAGAGTACTACAAGGTAATGAAAATTGAGACTTGCTTAGTTCTCTATATATAGTCGGGGTAATTAGCGTACTAGAAAAGAAAGGAAAGTACTACCTAAATAAAAAATTAAAAAAAAAAATTAGACCACTGTCATATATGGAAAATGGGGGAGACCTCACTGGGAGATCACAGCACCCCCACTTGGGGCTGATTGGCCCAATTTTTTTTTATTTTATTTTTTTTTTCATCCTCTCCCTACCCCACGTGTATGTGGAGTGGCGGGTAGGGTGGTGGGGTCACCCCCAATTGGAGGTCTGTAGCATTGCTCGTCATATATTAAGCAGTTTATAATAATTATATTTTTATGGGAATAGGCTTCTCTCCTGTCCTTAAACGGATTGGAGAGAATTGTTCGTTTCTACATAGGATAATTTGGAAAATTAGTTAAAAGCTAATTTTTAGTTTTTAACTTATTTTAGGTATATCATTTCTTATATTTTTTACATATAAAATAATAAAAAAGTTAAAAAAAATTAAAAAGTTAGTTTCAATAATTCTATTATAGGTCTCGTTTCAATAATTTAACCATTTCATTTTCTCACATTTATATTAAAAAAAATGAATGGTATGCTTTTAAAACACATTGACCATTAATTTTTTTTCTTGAGACATTCTATAAAATGAAAAGATTACGAATATCAAATTAACTTGATTTTTTTATTTTATTTTACAGATGATATACACACAAGGCCTAATAAAATGAACGATTCAAATCATCAAAATAGGCCCTTCATAAACGCGAACAATCATCTCCAATTCAGATTTGTATTGAAGAAAAGAGAATCCCTATTTTTATATATTTTTTATGTGACTTGATAGTTTTAATATTTTAAAATTTTTGAGACTTTATATACGTAATTTTTATTGCATTAATAGACTCAAACATATAAATAAATAAATAAATAAAAAGAAAATAAATAAATAAATAAATTGTATAAAGAATAATATTTTTAAACCCTTCTAATGGGTTTGGAGGACTGTGAGACTCTCTGCTACATATTTATAATAGGGAGGTACCATTACAATATTTAACCGTAAGTGTAACATTATTCTCTTATTTAAAATAATTATAAATTTATGTAATGAATATTTTCTATTACAAACGAACAATGCTAATATACTAATTTTTTTACAAAAAGCATATGTATCCAAATATCACTGGATTTCAAGTATTATAAATTTTTTTAGAACTGATTATATTTACCTCTTCTACTTTTAGTAAAATTTTTAATAAGAGCATTTAGTATCACAAAATTATTCATTACAAATCCAATTAAGGGTTAGTTTCTTAGTCAGAGTGTAAGACCGTGGCCCCGTTTGGTGTAACTGTTAAAACAGCTTATCGATTATAACTTAACAGATTATAGATTATGACTTTAATCAGAAGTTGTTAATCTATTTGATGTAACTGTTGGATTATAGATTTAAGTTGCTGAGTAGTGTTTGTTAAATAAGCTGTGAAATAGCTTTTTCAATTAATTTTTATTTTTTGTTTGTCTACATTTCTCATAAAAAATAATAATAATAATCTATAGTCCATTTGAGTCTTTTTCTATTTTTAAAAAAATAAAAAATAAAAAAATATAAGAGTATAACCATAAATTAACATGTCCACAGTAGAAGCTGATAATCAGAAGCAAGGGGTGAGCAGCTTTTCAGAATCAGCTTTTTTGAGTTAAAATAAGCTGTTAGAATCAGAAGCTGTTTGAAGTAAGTTTAACCAAACAGTCCAAAATAATTTTTTCAAGGCTAAAAGCCATAAGTTAACTCTGAAAAGCTAAAACAAACACCCCCGTGTGGCTCAAGAGTGTATCAAGTGTCTTAGTCAGACATGAGGTGTATAGCTGTGTGTTAGGTGTTAGGTGGGGGCCAAGAGTGTGTTCTATTTTACTCTATTCCTTTTTTTTTCTTTTTTTTTCTCTAGTTGCTTTTTAAAATTTAAAACCATGAGACTAAGAGGTTGGTTGTAAGAACGCGAGTAGCAATAATAGGAGAGTGAATTTTTACTCTTCGAATCTCTCTTAATGCGTTTTATCTCCTTGTACCTTCAAATTTCATATTTAATGGAATTTTTCTTTGCCGATAAAAAAAAAAAGGGTTAGTTTCGTTTTTTTATAGTAATTTCTTAACTTTTGACTTTTTTCAATAAAAAGTTAATATTTTTGTAAACTTATTAAAAAAATTAATTTTTGTGAATAAAAAAAAGATGACGTGAGTTTAACTTTTTTTTAGCTAATAACAACTTTTAAATTCTTTAAAAATATTATTATTTTATCATTACCTGAAATAATAAGTAAATATTAGATATGATGGTACTATATGATGGTATTATTATCTAATGAGTAATTTTAATTTGAGTTAAAGACTACAATAATATTGAAATAATACTGTATCTACTTAAACTCTTAATAATAATATTACTTAAAAATATACATGTCTGAATATCATTGGATGTTTAAACATCATACTTTTTTAACAACAAATTACATTTAACCTCTTATATTTTTAATAGATTTTGTGTAAGTTTGTTAATATATATAAAATTATTCATATTATTGAGTTAGGCCAAGTTTGGGATGTTCCCAAAAAGCCAAAAAGTCAAAAAGTTACTCAAAAAATTAAAAAGTTAACACTATTCACCAAAAGTCAACAATTACGGCTGCACAACTCCCAATTCAAATTTTTCCCTACAAATCAATTTTTACAATTTTTTATTACACATTTTTCAATAAAAAGTCAAAAAGTTAACCCAAACATCCATATTTTCAACCTCAATTTTTTAGTCCAAAAAGACAAAAAGTGCACTTATTTAGTCTTCCCAAACTTGGCCTAAAAGACCAGGCTAGTCACTAATCTTAGAAGATGTTGGAGAAAATTTTAGTAATTATTTAACTTTTTACAAAAAGATATATAAAAAAATAGAAGAATAATATAAAAATTTATAATAATTTTTCAACTAAAATATTTAGGCCAAGTTTGGCATATTGTAAAAAAGTCAAAAAGTCAAAAAGTTACTCAAAAAGTTAAAAAGCTAACACTATTCATCAAAAGTCAACAATTATGACTGCACAACTCCCAATCATAATTTTCTCCTACAAACTAATTTTTAAAATTTTTTATTACACATTTAGTCGGTCTTTGATCCGGACACCCCGGAGCCAATCAAAAATAAAAAAATGGTGAATAGTCTTCATCCTTTTTTAGCAACATGATAAAAAAGAAAAAGAAAAGAAAATAACGAAGAAATTGTGTGTGGGACAATTTTAGGAATCTTGGACAATTTTAGGACCACATGTGCTGCATCATTGGAGAGGGGTTGGCGTGCGTTCTTTTTCTTTTTCCTTGTTTGTTTTGTATGTATACTTTGTTGGAACCTCTCCAACAATTGCCTGAAGTACTTGAAAATGATTTCGCAAATCCAGTCTCTTTACCAATCAAATTCGAGTGGTGTGGTGACATGAAGCACCAAATAACTTTTCAAGTCGGTGAGATGGTAATGGACCCCGCAAGGCAACCGTGACCGCGTAGCTTGACCGACACACAGACAACGAACGAGTCAGGGGCCTGAGTGAGTCTTTCTTAGAATGTTTCAACTTCTCTCGAAGATTCACACTACTTGCGGTTGTCTATTTGCGGACATGGATTTCCACTTCGATGCTGAACATAATTTTATTTAGTAATCTTTTAAACAAATTTTTTTGTTATTAATTCACGGGTTCATATTAATAAATGGAGAATGATTCCCTTCATTCCAAAATTTGAATTTGAGCCCGTGAGTCTGCTAAAAGTCTCGTTTTAGTGATTCAAATTATTCATTTTATTAGGCATTTCGTATATTTCATCCGATAATTGTAACTTGTTTAATTTATTGTGTTTTTTACTAAAAAAATAAACGATAATTATGTTTTTAAAAAATAAATTATACATTTTTTTGATGATAAAAATAAATGAAAAGTTCAAATCATCAAAACTACACCCGTGATGGGCCTCACGGACCCAAACAGCCTCCTTCAATTCAAATTTTAGGCTAGAGGAAATCCTCCTCCTTAATAAATAATCATGTGACCTATGTTCTTATATTTAATGATAAAAAAATAGTTTATGTATAATATTTTTCAATTTGAAATGTAGGTAATAATTTATTTTGAATGTAGTATACCTTATACTAAGGACTCGTTTAGGAATAAATTATTTTAGTAATATTTTGATTTTTTGGCCAAAATGTGAGGTTGTTTTTAAATGATTAGCCTTATGAGGACTGATTCATTTTTGTTAATATACATTACACTTACCTCTCCTAAAGTTTAGAAAAAATATAATTACTCTCACACTTTTAACATAATTACATTAGCCACTCTTGAAGTTTTAATTTACATAAAAATTAGGTCATTTTTCATCAATAATTTGTTAATCTTACAAATAAAAAAATATCGTCATCTATTTTCAACTAAAATGTATATTTTTTTCTATTCTATTTATTATATGTATTAGTTTCATTCACTTCAGTCATATTAAAATTAAGGTCAATGTAATCATATTAAAAGTATGGAACTGATTGTATTTTTTTAAGAATAATGCTTGGGACCCCCTTTTGGGGGTCACCCCCTCACCCCCCTTTGCCACGTGGCGGGTGGTGATTGGAGGAGCAGGAAAAAAAAGAAAAAGAAAAAGAAAATGTAACCAATGAGAGAGAGAGGGGGTCAAAGGGGGTGGGGGGAAAAGGGGGGATAAATCATTGTTGTTTTTTTAAATCTCAAACAAAAGTGAGTATAATTTACCCTTTTTGTTAAGTAATTGCTAGGCAAAAAATAATCCTTTAATATGCTTTAAAATTTCTTATTTTCCAAAATATAACGTAAGCAATATTACATAATCCTCCCTTAAACTACAAAATACTTGGGACCAACTCCTCTGCAGTAATTGGAGGGGACTATTCAGTGCTTGTGAGTCTTGATTTGGGTCCATGTCGATAATTCAAACTGTTCAATA